AGCAGATGCATAAATACTGAGTGAGAAGGGGATGAGGGAATGAAAGGGGTACAGCTGGATTCGGGGCTGTTGGGGCAGACACAGCATGGGGGCTCCATGGAGAACACGTGGCCTGCGGCCGTCTCAGGCAGAGAGGGCTCTTGCTGGAGAAGCTCCTACAAAGCTGTCCGGGCTGGGGTTGAGCTGCTGCTGCCATGCAACACAGGGGCCAGAAACCCCAACAGGAGCAGGACCTGCTAGAGCCCTTGTGCACGGCCCTGGGACTAAGAAGTGAAACCACTATCCTGACATGCCTCTGCCACACTTCACCAACACAACTGAACAGAATTTGCAGGGCTCAGATCCATGGTTTCTGAAGAAGGTAATAAAGGGTGAATGTGGAGCTGAGAGGCAATAAGTTGATAGAGGCACATTTGGTGACCCCAAAAGAGGCAGATCTTTCTCGTCTTTTCTCTCTGCTGTGGCTGTTTATGGTTCATTCCCTTTAGGCCTTTAAGAACCCAAAAGCACCCATCTATTAAGAGAAGGGATTATTCAGGATCAGCTTCATGCAGCATTGAATAGATCACTATTGCAAGTAAAGAATTTGTTGGTACTTCTTACATTTATAGTGTTAGATAACTTGGTTAACTAAAATACATTTTTTAATGGCATTTCTTAAAGTACTAAAAATGGCAATAAGCTACGTAGTATGTCACATGATGCTGGAGAAATAAAAAATATCTTCTCTGGCAAGAGTTTATTAAAAGTTCAACATCACGGTACACACATTACGTAGCCATTCCGTATGTCTCCATCTTCTGCAAACACCCCTTCCTAAAATAATGAAAATGAAACATTCGTTTTTCTTTCCATTTAATTCTGCAAGCTGCGATTCCGTCTCACTGAGTTCAAACCCCAGCTCCTCTCTGACCTTGGGCCAATTACTTAACCTATGTGCTCCCGTTTCCTTGGGTGCAAATTAGGAACAGTGAGTCCCTGCCTGAAGGGTGTCTCATATGCATCTGTCTGCATATCTGTGTATTCGTTATTTATCTACCTGTCAATCATCCATTAACAAGCAGGAACATGAGAGGAAATCAGGGTGACATTGACATCCTAGTTGTGCGTCTGCACAGAGGATGGTCTCTGGTTCTGCAACCAGGGTGACTCTGAGATGCTCAGCTTATGCACCTGCACAGAGGATGGCCTCTGGTTCTGCACCCAGGATGACTCTGAGACGTCCAGCTCATGCACCTGCACAGATGATAGTCTCCAATTCCACAGCTACTTCTCTTTAGGGAATCAAGCTTACTGTGTGTAGGTTACAGGTGGTAGAATTTGCCTTAGCTATTCACTTATGGTGTAGAGGATACTATGAACAGTTGGGTAGACAGTCCTTGTAGTGTCATTTATGTGAGATATAATGGAAAACACTATTATTCCATGTATGCTGTTGTAGTTTTTAAAAGTTAGGTACACATTTATGAGATGGAGTTTTGCTTGTTGTTGCCCAGGCTGGAGTGCAATGGTGCGATCTCAGCTCACCACAACCTCCGCCTCGTGGGTTCAAGCGATTCTCCTGCCTCAGCCTCCCGAGTAGCTGAGAATACAGGCATGCGCCACCATGCCTGGCTAATTTTTTTTTGTTAGTAGAGACGGAGTTTCTCCATGTTGGTCAGGCTGGTCTCAAACTCAGGTAATCCGCCCGCCGTGGCCTCCCAACGTGCTGGGATTACAGGCGTGAGCCATCGCGCCTGTCCTCATCTTTGTTTTTAATCGATGACTGATTGGCATATGGAGCACACCCCATGGCCTTTGCATTGGCTGTGAAGTCTCAGGTGGTTCTCACTTTCTATAGAGCCAACATAGAGCATTAACCTTTATATGTCATGGAAGCCACCCTTCAGGAAAGCAGGAGGGGTATAGGGGTCATTACAGGGGTTTCTTATTCTCTATTTCCTACTGTTACAGGAATCTAGTTGTGAGTTCTCTAAATTTAGATATAATTTACTTTCTCTTGTAGTATATGCTCATGTGATTTTAACAATAAGATGTGAGATAAGAGGAGCTTATGTTAGTCCATTACTAACAGACATATTTCAGAATTTTGTCTGCTTTTCTTTCTCCTGAGCTGACTAGGAACACTGGTCATTCATGAGGAAAGGGCTGTGGCTCCTGGGGAAACTTGGCAGCTCGAGCTTTGTGACTACTCATCTTGCAGTAGAGCTACTGTGGTTGCTTCAGTGACTGAAATTATATATATTTTATTATACTTTAAGTTCTGGGGTACATGTGCAGAACGTGCAGGTTACATAGGTATACATGTGCCATGGTGGTTGGCTGCACTCATCAACCTGTCATCTACATTAGGCATTTCTCCTAATGCTATCCCTCCTCTAGTCCCCCAGCCCCCAGCAGACCCCAGTGTGTGACGTTCCCCTCCCTGTGTCCATGTGTTCTCATTGTTCAACTCCCATTTATGAGTGAGAACATGTGGTGTTTGGTTTTCTGTTCTTGTATTAGTTGGCTGGGAATGATGGCTTCCAGCTTCATCCATATCCCTGCAAAGGACATGAACTTACCCTATTTTATGGCTGCATAGTATTCTGTGTTGTACATATGCCATATTTTCTTTATCCAGTCTATCACTGATGGGCATTTGGGTTGGTTCCAAGTCTTCACTATTGTGAACAGTGCTGCAATAAATATACGTGTACATGTGTCTTTATAGTAGCATGATTTATAAGCCTTTGGGTATATACCCAATAATGGGATTGCTGGGTCAAATGGTATTTCTGGTTCTAGATCCTTGAGGAATTACCACACTGTTTTCCACAATGGTTGAACTAATTTACACTCCCACCAATGGTGCTTCTCCACATCCTCTCCAGCATCTGTTGTTTCCTGACTTTTTAGTGATCACCATTCTAACTGGCATGAGACAGTATCTCATTGTGGTTTTGATTTGCATTTCTCTAACAATCAGTGATGAGCTTTTTTTCATATGTTTATTGGCCGCATGTCTTCTTTTGCGAAGTGGCTGTTCATATCCTTCATCAACTTCTTGATGGGGTTGTTTTCTTCTTGTAAATTTGTTTAAGTTCTTCGTAGATTCTGAATATTAGCCCTTTGTCAGATGGATGGATTGCAAAAATTTTCTCCTGTTTTGTAGGTTGCCTACTAACTGATGATAGTTTCTTTTGCTGTGCAGAAGCGCTTTAGTTTAATTAGATCCCATTTGTCAATTTTGGTTTTTGCTACCATTGCTTTTGGTGTTTTAGTCATGAAGTCTTTTGCCATGCCTTTGTCCTGAATGGTATTGCCTAGGTTTTCTTCTAGGGTTTTTATGGTTTTAGGTCTTATGTTTAAGTCTTTAATCCAACTTGAGTTAATTTTTGTATAAAGTGTACAGAAGGGGTCCAGTTTCAGTTTCTGCATATGGCTAGCCTGTTTTCTCAACACCATTTATTAAATAGGGAATGCTTTCCCCATTGCTTGTTTTTGTCAGCTTTGTCAAAGGTCAGATGGTTGTAGATGTGTGGTGTTATTTCTGAGAAGTCTCTTCTCTTCCATGGGTCTATATATCTGTTTTGGTACCAGTACCAAAGCATTTTGCATTTCAGTATCATGCCGTTTTGGTTACTGCAGCCTTGTAGTATACCTTGAAGTCAGGTAGCATGAGGCCTCCAGCTTTGTTCTTTTTGCTTAGGATTGCCTTGGCTATGCGGGCTTTTTTGTTGTTGTTCCATATGAACTTTAAAGTAGTTTTTCCAATTCTGTGAAGAAAGTCAATGGTAGCTCGATGGGGATAGCATTCAATCTATAAATTTCTTTGGGCAATATGGTCATTTTCATATTGATTCTTCCTATCCATGAGCATGGAATGTTTTTCCATTGTTTATGTCCTCTCTTATTTCCTTGAGCACTTGAGCAGTGGTTTTGTAGTTCTCCTTAAAGAAGTCCTTCACATCCTTTATAAGTTGGATTCCTAGGTATTTTATTTTTTGAAGCAATTCTGAATGGGAGTTCACTCACGATTTGGCTCTCTGTCTGTTGTTGGTGTGTAGAAATGCTTGTGATTTTTGCACATTGATTTTGTATCCTGAGACTTTACTGAATTTGCTTATTAGCTTAAGGAGATTTTAGGCTGAGATGATGGGGTTTTCTAAATATAAAATCATGTCATCTGTAAACAGAAACAATTTGACTTCCTCTCTTTCTATTTGAATACCCTTTCTTTCTCTTGCCTGATTGCCGTGGCCAGAATTTCCAATACTATGTTGAATAGGAGTGGTGAGAGAGTGCATCCTTGTCTTGTGCCAGTTTTCAAAGGGAATGCTTCCAGTTTTTGCCCATTCAGTATGATATCGGACATCACGGTCACCCTGATTTCCTCTCATGTTCCTCTTCGTTAACCCAATCTTCAGGTCCTATTGCTATTATCTTTTGAACATTTCTCAAATCTCACTGATACTGATTTTTTTTTTTTTTTTTTTTTTTTTTTTTGGAGACACAGTCTCACTCTGTCGCCCAGGCTAGAGTGCAGTGGGGTGATCCCGGGTCACTGCAACCTCCGCCTCCTGGGTTCAAGAGATTCTCCTGCCTCAGCCTCTGGAGTAGCTGGAATTACAGGCATGAGCCACCACACACCCGGCTAATTTTGTATTTTTTGTAGAGATGGGGTTTCACCATGTTGGCCAGACTGGTCTCGAACTCCTGACCTCAGGTGATCAACCTGCCTCGGTCTCCAAAAGTGCTGGGATTACAGGCATGAGCCACAGTGCCTAGCCCCGACAGACATCTCTTAAGTACACATCAGTTTCAGGCATTCAGGGTTGTTTAGACTCCCTCACTTTCAAGCTCAGGCTCCATGCTGCTGCTAAAGTGATCTTCAAACCCTGACTGGCCCTCACTGGCCCTTTACCTAAAATCTTCAAGTAGTTCCCCATCATCTTTAGGATGAAGTACAAATTCCCAAGCATGATGCTCAAGATGCTATACCCCGGCCCCTTCTACCTGACTTCTTGCCCTTCCCCAAATGTGTCATGCTCCCTCATCTTCCTTCAAAATATAGAAGCCAGGCAATATTTCAGGTGCCTGGCCTACACGAATGAACAAAACAGAGATCCTGGCCTATGTGGACCTCGTATTCTTATGGGAGTAGGTGAGAGGTAGGGAGGTGGATGGTGGAAGAATGGCTGAGTAATTGGGTAAATGAATGAGATGTCTGATGATAGATGGATGGATGGTGGACATAAATGGATGATTGATAGGTAAGTAGATGATTGGTGAATGCGTAGACAGATATAGAGAGGTTGATAAATGGATGACTGACAGGTAGATAAATAACGAATACACAGATATGCAGACAGATGGACAGAGTGTCGTGTGGTTATAACAGCAATGGAGACATGAGTCAGGATGGGGAACGGGAGGGATTGTGTATAAAGAGGTGCCATATTTCACAATTTTACAAAAACAGGAGAAATGAACCATACTTCTCACGTTGGGTCTGGCTTCCCCTTCAGAGCAGAGCCTGCAGTCTCTGAGCTGAAGTGTCGGTCTCCTCCACCCACCCTCCCACTCTCAGCCACCCCCTCTGCCCTGTGCCTCTCTTCCCCACGCCTTCCTGCCTTTGAAGAGGTGAGGTAAGGTGCACGGGTGAACAGAAAACGCTCCCAAAGCCAAGAGATCACCATCTCCTGCTACACCCACCTCTCTCAGGCTTTTATCGAGAGAGAAGAGCGTGAGACAACCACAACCCACCACACTTATCTCGTAGAGTAGCTGGGATTGTGAAGATGGCATGATCCGAAGGTAAACACAGGGTTTATCAACTCCACTGCAGCATCGTGGAGAGAGAATGTAGGAAACAGACGCAATGGTGACTGACGTGGATCTCCTCTCCTGTGTGGTAAGATGTCAGGCCAAAGGTAGGCTTGCATCCTCCTGCGAGGAGCGGCCCCATGTGATTGTCAGCCATGGGGCAGCCTCCCTGAATTTCAGTTTCCTCATCTATAAAATGGAAGACAAACCCCCACTGGCTTCCATGAGAACTGAAGCTATATGAACTCACGCCTGTGAGCACGTCTGGGTGTGTTGTGTGTTCAGACAGGGCGCCCGTACAGCGGCATTGACACACAGTGAGGGAAGCGTTCACCGCAGGCTGACAGCACGCGGGCACCTCCACACTCCTGAACTCGACAGGGGCCTCCGAGACACCCACGTGAGTAAGAGAAGGTCTCAATATGTGTCAGGGCTTAAGACAGCTGTGAAATAATGGAGGCTGGATTTGGGAGCAAATCCTCCTTTGTTCCATCCCCACACGTTTTCCTGGGGTCAATGCCTCCTTGGAAAAGGCAGCAGGGGGCGCCGTGGAGGTGGCACCGGCTTTTCATTCAGGCTCTCAGCTGCGACCTTCTCGTTTGCACGGGTGACACTCCCCGAGGCCATAAAACCTCTCTAGAAAGAAGAGCAGAGCCAAGAGGCCAGGCAGATGGTGACTGAGGAGGATGCAGAAGTGGCTGATCACATGAGCCTGTGTGGACCGAGAGATTTGTTAGGGCACGACTGACTCACAGCCTTTCCTCCACCACTGGGTGAGTTCTGAGACTCACAGCCTTTCCTGCACCACCGGGCGAGTTCCGAGACTCACGGCCTTTCCTCGACCACCGGGTAAGTTCCCAGATTCACAGCCTTTCCTCGACCACCAGGTGAGTTCCATCATCCCTTAGACTCAGTTTTTTCTTCTGACACAGGAGACAACAGTCACAACTTCACCTGCTTATCATGAAAGCTCCATGTGACAACAATGTGAGAACGCCAGTGAAGGGCATTTGAAAAACAAAGGGATTCATGAATGGGGTCCCTCACCAGCGACCAACCCCCTGCCCTCACCGGTGCCCTGGGAACTACACAAGAATTCACAGGTAATTTTCTTTTAAAGAAGCAACTTTAACCTACATGTTGGAAAAACTCTTTCAGAGTAATTCAAACATCAATCACAGCCTGAGTTTTTGTTGTTTTTCAGATGGAGTTTTCCCCTGTCTCCGGGCTGGGGTGCAGTAGTGTGATCTCAGCTCACTGCAACCTCCGCCTCCCAGGTTCAAGCATTTCTCCTGCCTCAGACTGCTGAGTAGCTGGAACTACAGGTGCCCGACAGCCTAAGTTTTCTGTTGCTAAATTAATGAAATTTCAGCTGGCCATGCCCAGGTAGCAGTGATAACTCAGGCTCCAGACAGCCCTGTGCAGATGATATCATAAAACACGGAGGAAAAACAAACAGGAAACACATGACAATGTGTGGTTTTCGTTTCTGTTTAGAAAAGTAGACCTGGAAAACAAATCACTGAGGGTAAGGAAAAGAAAAAACTATGCTAGCAACCACGATTAAAAAGTTATTTAACAGTGATGCCTAAAAATGAGAAAAATTTGGCATGAGATTATAATCTTTTTAGTTAGTATGAAATTCTGAATAGTAGACAACATGGGCTTGGAAACCACGTGAACAGCTATTTACCAGACACTGGGGTCTCCCAAGAGGGTGTGTCTGCACACAAAGCTGGAGGCCCATCGTGTGCTGGAGGCCCACACCCACCGCGCTTCTGCCTCGTCCAGTAGTTGGGCACAGGCACCCTCCTGGCACAAGTGGCAGATGGACGTATTGTCACACCCTACCCCGTGCTTACCTGACCCATAGTGCTCATCTCGTGACCCTGAAAACCTTCAGCGGTGGTAGCAAGAGGCAGAGGAAGGAGTGACAGGAGCCTGGCGTTCTTGCAGCAAAGCTTGGTCCACCCCTGGATTTCGGGGAAAACAGCAGAGTGAGGTGTGGCTGTGCTCAGCGGACTCTAGCAAATCATTCCCTCCATCCCCACAGCAAAGCCAGAGCTACCCACGGGACTGGGCATGGCGGCACCTCAGAGCCCACAGACAGGAGGGCCAGGACTGAGGGGGAAGCTCTCCCACAACCGGGGAGACCCCTCCTGCCTGGATGCCACCAAGGCCCTCTCACAGCACAAGGGTCCACTGACAGGCAGGGAGAGACACAAACTCAGCCACAGGTAGCAACTGAATTCCTGGGAGTTACAGAAACAGGGCCCAAGACACAGACTCAAGTTATGACCTTTCATGTAATAAATATACAGAATAGGTTGTATAAGTTCTTAAGAAAATTTCAAAGTTATTATTAAAGCAATTTTTAAAACAAATCTTACAGGATAATTTAACAATATAATTCAGGTAACCAGGACATACCATGAATGTCCAGCTTTGCTCATTCCAAATTACTCTCTGGAAACTTACTCCATTTGATGCCAAGTGTTAACAGATTGTATTCGACTATGAACTACAATTATTTGATGAATTACAAAAAATGTTAATGTGTTCAGATAAAACGATTTAATGGTATTGGTCAAAACACTGACTTGAATCCACGTGTCACAGTACTGGTTATACTCAGGTAACAACAGGGTGGCAAGGAACACAACTAGACGAAACTAAGCCCCCAAAGGAAGGACATCATCATCACAGTTCCATGAAGAACTGCTCTGATATCGCGGGAAAAATGTCAGCCCCACAGTTCCATGAACGACTCTGAAACCACAGAAAGGACATCATCCACACAGTTCCACGAAGAACTGCTCTGAGACCACGAGAAGGATGTCATCCTCACATTTCCATGAATGGCTCTGATACCACAGAAAGGATGTCATCCTACATCATCCTCACAGTGCCATGAAGAACTGCTCTGAGACCACAGAAAGGACGTCATCCTACGTCATCCTCACAGTTCCGTGAAGAACTGCTCCGAGACTGAGCACCAATCACTAACAGATACTTCTTCAGAAATAGATCGGTAATATTTGATTGAAAGCAAACTAGAAATAAAGTTTTAAGTTAATAAAAGAAATATTTAGTCCCTGGTTTTCCACGATGGGCTCTTATGACAGCTGTAGAGTCTGTGGGCTTCATATTCCTCTTACTAAGGTGGTTTCTGCACGTCAGCTTTCTATGGTGCATGTGCAGACCCTACGTATCAGGCTGGCGAGTTCAGAACTAAGTGAAGCACAGCACCACCCCGCCACCGCCCCCACACCCTGCCACCACTCCCCCATCCATCACATTCCCCATCCCGACATTTTGTTAAGTCTCACGTGCTCTTCTTTCAGCAGCATCCAAATCACCATCAGTTCCTGAGCAACAAACTGCTGCTACCAACCTCTTGCAGTCATCATCTACAAATGATCTTTTAAAAACGATCTTCAATTAACTTTTTATCAAACAGATGCATTTTAGGAAATCAAAGAGTGTTATCAAGTCTCATGTGAAAAAGTAGTTATCTGGCACTTACGTTCATAAACATGGACTTACCACACGACTTCCTGAATTGTCCTTTAGACACCACACCTTACGCCACTGTGGTCATCATGTCAGGGTCTGCAGTGTGCTATAAATACCGTCCTATCTTATGCTTTTCAAAGATTCTGGAGTTAATACTTTTTATCTATTTTCCATTATCCTGGCTTTCAATGTACCTATTGCCAACCCTTTCACAGTTCTTCCGCAGAACTGAAAAACTCTTTCCCATACTTTCTTGCCCACAATGAAACACTGATAACCTGGTGAGAATCTCTGTTTGATTTTCTGGGAAATCCTCTTGGAGCCCCGCCCCCATCCCCAATGTGCTACTGTCACTGGGCCGTGCCTTTCTTTCCACTGGCCGTGCTGCTCACTATGTTGGTCACTCGAAAGGGGGAGGGAAGAGGGAGGGAAGGGGTGGTGGGAAGGGGCGGAGGAGAGTGGAGGGAGGGAAGAGAGAGGGGGAGAGGGGGAGAAGAGGAGAAGGGAGGCAGGGAGAGAAGGGAGGGAAGAGGGGAGGGGGAAGGGGGGAGGGGGGAAGGGAAGGAAAGGGGGAGAAGGGGGAGGGGAGAGGGAGGGGCTGGGCATGCAGCCTTAGCCTCCCTCCAGCTCTCACCCACAACCCCTGAACATCCATGGTGCCCTTCAGATGCTCCCTTTTCTTCATATGTCTCAATCCCTTGGGATCCGTCTCTTCCTCTGCCTACACTCCTCCTGGGGTCAGCACATGGCCTGCCTGGACACTGTCCACAGAAGGTGCTTTCTGCCTAGAGCACTGTGGCTTCCCCTCCCCACTGTGCCCAGGGCTGTCTTCCCTACGGTGGTCTGTGAGGGCTCTAATGGTTTCATTCCTCTGCGTCCCGATGACCACAAGACAAAGCCCCCGACTCCTTCACCGGAACCGGATCCCTCCGTGGCTTCCTGTCCGGCTTCCTTTCCAGTTTCCTGGCCCTATCTTCTCTCTTCCCCAGACTGCAGTCAGATGGAAATGCCCACCATTCCCAGGTCTGAGCCCCGACCACCATGAACACTACTTCTTCAGATGCTCTCCCCCACATCAACATCCATGTACAAAAGGAGGGAAGCAAAGAAAAGAGCCATTTTTATTAAAACTTCCATTACTTCCAGCACCTAATTAAGTAAGGATTCCCCAGGGAAAATTCGTAACAATAGAGTACTGTCAACTGAAAAGCCCATCAATTCCAGGTTAGCAAATAACTGCAGGAGAATATTTCCTTGATACTGTGAAAAAACACACAGTGGACAACACGGCAATCCTCACGTCACCCTCAGAACAGGGCATGCCTGGGCTGCCAACAACACAGCGGCGCTCCACGGGCTGGGAGTCCGGCAACACGGACGCCATGCAGTTATTCAGGATGTTAAACGCTCTAGAAAAAAGTCTACTGCATTTCTAAACTTCTCAATTTCCACTGATTTCTAAATTCAGATAGAGAAACACACTGAAAATCTTGATTTTCAACATATTTTTAAAAGAAATCATCACGAACTTGTGGAGAAAAACTTACATTTTAAAAGTATGTAGGATTTAAGATGAGAAGGCCCTGCTCCAAATTCCCATCTTATTCTCAACTAATCCCTTGACCCAGCATGCTGAGGGTGCAGACACATCAAAATTCCCATCTTATTCTCACTCATCCCGTGTCCGGGCATGCTGAGGGTGCAGACACATCCAAATTCCCATCTTATTCTCACTCATCCCGTGTCCGGGCGTGCTGGGGCAGTGACACCTGCCCCAACCCTGTGAATTCTCACGCTGTCCTTTGTTCTTGTTGTTTTATTTAGATGGAGTCTTGCTCTGTTGCCAGGCTGGAGGGCAACGGTGCAATCTCAGCTCACTGCAACCTCCACCTCCCAGGTTCAAGAGATTCTTCTACCTCAGCCTCCTGAGGAGCTGGGATTACAGGCACCCATCATCACCATGCTGGGCTAATTTTTGTATTTTTTAGTAGAGATGGGGTTTTACCATGTTGGCCAGGCTGATCTTGAACTCCTGACCTCGTGGTTTGCCCCCCTCAGCCTCCCAAAGTGCTGGAATTACAGGCAAGAGCCACTGTGCCCGGCCCCATGCTGTCCTCCTTTCTATCCATCTTCCATGAACCCAAATCTTTGTTGCAAATCACTATACATTTTCTTAACAACCCTTTTCCTATTATAATAGTTTAACTCGATTAGGGACTCAAGCATTGGAAATTGCCAGTGATCCGGGGTCAGGAGTGTCTGACGTCTGCGTCTCATCTGCCAGCCTGAACCCCAGTCCACACTCACTGGATGAGTCTCATCCGCCAGCCTGAGCCCTGGTCCATGCTCGCTGGACAAGTCTCATCCGCCAGCCTGAGCACTGGTCCACACTCGCTGGATGAAATGCCAATCTCACCATCAGGGCTGGGGTTTCACGTTTCTGCACTTTGCTTACACCTCAGATTTTTCACAAAACCCACATGAGCAGTTCCAAAGTGGGTGCTACCCTACCCACTGGAGACACACCACATGGCGTGGGCTCAGCTGCACTCCCTCCCTAGCAGCTGACATCTGGGAGGAGGAACGCGATTCACTCAATATTGCTGAAAAGACCAGGAAATAAATGCACAGATCAAACCGACAAGTGTGTGTGACAGAACACGTCTCCAGCAGCTGAGCGTGGTACCCTGGGAACACGGCTGACCTGGAACACAGGTGGTTCACCTTTCACTGCAGCAACTTGGTCTAGAAGGATTCATGCTATGTCACAGGCAGAGCAATCTGGACACCCACGTTTCCCCTCCTGTGGGATTGAAGTTTAAAGAACCTCACCTTGTGAGCTGCTGCATGGCCTAACCACTAAGTGGAGGCAACCAGCCAGGGACAGGCCCCCGGGACCTTCAGCCCAGGTGAGGAGGCGGTCCCTACCCCAGTACGTGCCATGCAGGAAAGGCTGCCCTGGGGTCACCAGACTGTAACTCTCATAGCAGCACCCACTGTGCACCTGCCCCGGGAAAGCACAGCTCTGCTGACATGAAGAATCAGAACAACCAACGGCTGTCCCAGGCAAACAGGCGGGGCCAGCCAGCCACGTCTTCTAAAGGCGACAAAACAAAACAGCATTTATGTGCTTAAATATAAGAAAGTTTCTCATTCCATATGTAACCAAAGAGCAAAATTCACAAATGCCGACTCCGGGGCACCTCCTCCTTCATGACTGTCAAATCCCAGTGGGAGAATCTGCAACAGGTCCTCAGAGGAAGCCCCCTCCATGGGGACAGGGCAAGGCAGTCACTGCAAGCAACAGCACTCAGGCCAGAGCAGCTGTTCTTATGAGAACATGTGATCCAGTTACAGGATCAAACACTAGGATGCGAGCCAAGTCCCGAAAAGATAATTCCACGGACTGGACAGTGCTGAGGTACATGTTACCCTCTGTCATTCCGGTCATTAGTTAGCACTTACATGTTACCACCTGCCATTTAAATTTATCCAAATCAAGAATAAAAGTAAAACTGGCCCAGATAGACGCCTGAGGCAGTGGAAGGTCTGCGGTGCCTGTTTAGGGCGTTACGTGGATCTGAGCATCGTATGGTGGTGTCTGCCCTCAGGGACACTGCACATCCATCCTGGTATCACAGCGGGGATGGTCACCCAGTGTTGGGGGGAAGCAAGCACTGCCCCGGCCCGCCCCCCTGGGCAGACTCAGCCCCTCTGTGCCACACCCCAGCATTCATTCAGTGAATACCTGCCCAACGCCCACTTTCCGTGAGCAGGCAGCCGGGGCCTCGGGCGACCTACGTCCTGCTGCTGTGGAGACCGAGCATTTAGTAACCACCGCCCAACTACGACTGTGGCATTTCAGGGACAGGACGACGTGGAGATGGGAATCTGGATGGTCTAGACTGAGGGATCAGGGGAGAAATCCCTCAGGATGGTACATCTGAACTGAGCTTTAAACACTGCCTGGACATGGCTAAGGGCATGGCCTGAGCAGAGTTCCTCATGTGGACAGCAGCATGGCCATCGGGAGCCCTGGCAGCCGGGAGTGGGGAGGAACTGAGGTAAGTCCAGGTTTGTGATCAGAGTCAACAGCCGGACAGCACAGTGCAAGCCTGCAGGCCAAGGCAGTCATCAAGGCCTCCGGTGGAAAGTGTGGGGCTTCAATCACTGACCCAGGAGGCCTCTTCCCTGAGGAGGCTGCTCACGCGACCCCACTGTGGAAACTGTGTGGCACAGACTGACCCCCTCACAGAATCCTTGTAACTTGCACCTGGGCATCAAGCTGTCCGGCTGCTGAGGGAAAAGCAAGCTGGGCTTGGAGAGGAATACTGGAGCTTCGTAAATCACTCAGTACCGGAAACATTTCATGGACAATCAGGTAAGAAGTTGAGAAAGAGGAGTTGTATCTGAGGAAGGAAGGCTCCACTATTTATAGCCACACCGAAGTTTTACTCTCAATCTCCATGGCCTGCATCATAAAAGCAGTGAGGCCTTGTTATCCCAGTCGATGATGTTATTAAGATATCCCTGAAAAGGATGCAAGGCAGTGGATTCCATTTCCTATGT